ACAGAAATCCAAAAGTATGACCACAACTAGAACCCTAAGCTATAGTGGAGAGGCGACCTTAAATGTCCTTCCCCTATAATGAGGATGATGACTACCTTATATGCCATCCTGGAGCCTTCATCCAGTAGCTGATGGAAGCAGTAGTAGACACCCAAAGCTAAACACTGAGCTGAACTCCTGGAATCCAGTTTCAGAGAGGGAGGAGTGACGATCCAAGGGGTCAAGACCAGGCTGAGAGACCCACAGAAACAGCTGACCTGAGCAAGTGGGAACTCATGGACCCCAGTCTGACAGCTGGGAACCAACATAGGACCAAACCAGGCCCCCTGAATGTGGGTGTCACCCAGGAGCACTGGGCAGTCTATGGGGCCTCTGGCAGTGGAACCAGAAGTATCCCTAGTGCAGGAATGGACTTCGAGAGCCCATTTCCCATGGAGGGATGCTCTCTTAGCCTAGATATACAAGGGAGGGCCTAGGCCCTGCCCCAAATGACTTGACAGATTTGAATGATCCCTCATGGAAGGCCTCACCCTCCCTGGGGAGTGGATGGGGGATGGGATGGGGGGGTCAGTGGGGAGGGCATGGGAGGATGGGAGGGAGAGGGAACTGGGATTGATATGTGAAATAAGACTGTTTCTGATTTAAATAAAATTATTTAAAAAGTAGCCATATTGTTGAAACTATGAAATTAAAAATCTTTTTACTTTTATTGGTGTGTGTATGTGAGTGTGCGTGTGCATGTGCATATGTGTGTGTACATGTGCGTGTGTGTGTGTGCGTGCGTGTGTGTGCGTGCATGTGTGTGTGTACATGTGTGCGCACTAGTGCACTGTGGTTCACGTATAGAAGTCAGAGGACAGCTTGTGGGTGTCCCTGCTCTCCTTTTGCCCCATGGGCCCTGAGGATGGAACCCAGGTCGTGTGAGCCTTCACATGCTGAGCCAGCCCACCAGCCTGCTGAAGCTCTTCACTCCCAGAAGCTGGCTCTCCTCGTGACTCCGTTTGCTCCGTAATTTCATCAGTGTTGGCAAACTGCATGTGCCAACACCTGAGCACTGAAAATTAGCTCACTCTGAATTTTCTGGACACTAAAATGATTTACCACTGCTTGGATTACTCAAATGCCATCAGATAGAGCTTGAATGGTGTCAACGTGTCGCTAAGTGTTTAGAGACTTTCTAAAGAGGGGGCCCTCGCCCACAACTTTGAAATACATTAGATGGCATCTTCTTTTTCTCTGGATTACTTTCCAGTTGCTGAACTGACTTTCTGTATTTCCAAGGGACATCTGCATATTAATAGTAACAGCACAGTCACCAAAAAGTATCCAATATCCCCTTGCCTGAGGAAGGAATGCTCGAGGTACAGACATGCTCTTGGCATGTGTCAGCTCCATCCTGGGGGGCTGCTTGTAAAGTGTGGAAATGGCTGCAGGCCTTAGCTCTTACTGTCACCCACTGCCCTTTCCTGAGCCTTTGTAGAAAAGGGAACAGCAGGTGACAGGTGGCCTCCTGCGATAAGGACCCACGCCCTGGGAGTGGGAATCTGCTCAGTTGTAATTCACAAAGTCTATCAGATGGAAAATGACTTTATCTATCTAGAAAGATCTGGACTAGAAATAGAATTGGGTTCTCCATCTCCATTCTTGGTGCTAGAAGACTTAGGTTTTTCCTCTGACAGCTTCTTGATTAAATGTTGTGAGAAAGAGATAGGTAGATAGATGATAGATTATAGATAGATTGATAGATGATAGATTATAGATAGTTGATAGATAGGTAGATAGGTGATAGATAGATAGATAGACAGATAGATAAGGAGCATGTGTGTGCATGTGAATATGTGTGTTTCCTCTATGTATCTGTGTGTGTCTGTATACTGTCTTTGGTTATATCATGCTATAATACTAAATAAGGGAGTTTCCCAAAGATATGAAAATCGGTTTCTTCTCTCGTACCTGGCCAATCATGTTAGCCATCAATGGCTTCCAAAACTGACAACTCAGAGAGTGACCTCTGGATTCAGACGCGGGGATTGCTGTGACACACACCCAATGATGAGGAAATGAGTTGGAGGGAAGAGAGATCCGGAAAGAGGGTGACTCTACTCAACAGAAAAGCGACTTCCTTCATGACCATGAGCAACTGAGTGGCCTTCTGTGTGTATATTCATGTGGGACTATAATTCCTATCGTCTTGTTTGGGAAGAGGAGAGGGAGAAGGGCCTATGGCCAGGAACAAGGGTAAATTTTAGTCTTAATATTCATCATCTTGACTCAGCCTGTCATTTAACAAGCTCATATAATGATTTGATCTCAATAGTAATTTAGTCCACCATCACAGACAGGACTATCAATGCGGACAGCCTATAATTTGTAAAATGCAGGTGCTGGGGATCGGGCCCACCTGTTGAAGTTAATTTGGGTTATAATGTGGACTCCATAGTGTAAGTAAACATAAGCACTACATGGTTCCCAGTCTCCGGGACCTCGCTGTGGAGATGTGAGGGGTTCCTACATGGTATCTGCGCGTCTCTCTAGGCTCTATGGATCGATAGCAACTCCGATGTCTGCTGGAGTCCTGATTCAGGGCGCAGGGGTTGTCTCACTCAGGGTCTCTGTAATCTCTCTGAGGCCTGATGCGAGAGCGAAGAAAATGACGTGGTGTCGTGAGGCGGTGTGGCAAGGTCGGAGCTCTTGGTCTCTGCTCCCTCCTGTGTTCACTGGGGAAAAGCTTCTCTCTAGCACCGCCCTACCCAATGATTCCAAGCCCTGCCTGATAGAGTCTGCAGAAGATCTCAAGCAAAACTGCCCGCTTTGCCGGGCTGAGCAGGGGCCATAGGAGCTGTCAAGAGGGTCAGCAAAGGCTTTTGATTAGCACTTGGGACAAAGGGGCGTAGCCTATTGGCATACTGTGCCTGGGGCTTGTGTTTTCTTGCTTTGCTTGGCATCATATGTGTGTGTGTGTGTGGGGGTAAAACCTTGGAGTGGAACTTGTGAGGTGGGTCTCCTTGCTCCCTTCCTCCCTCCCTCCCCCTACTGCCTCTTTGGGATTTTTGACACAAGATAACCTACGTAACTCAGACTGACCTCAAACTTGTGATTCTCCTGCCTCAGCCTACAGAGGGCTGGTGTGTGCATACCACCATGCCCTTGGAAGATGATGGTTTTATAGGAATGAATTGCATGTCTATTGATAATTTAGACAAAGAAGACTGCCTTCTGCCAAGAATTTCCATTTACATGTAGCATCTCTTAAAACGTAGAAAGGCCGCTGCTCACCCTGATCACATAAGGCTCTGAGACACTGAAAATACCATCACCACACCTGTCTAAATGTTTTTTTGAAGATGACTGTTAAGCTCTCAGTCCTCCTAGCTGGGGACAGCTGAACACGAGGTTACAGAAGGAGTGAAGCATTTGGAATACCTTCCCCTGTCAATCAGAGCTTGCAGCATGTTGACCTTTAGACCTTCCCTGTTCATGAATGCTTCCAAAATTTGAGACAAGTTTTCACCAAACAAGTGTGAATATCCAATACCACCTTCCATTCATCACATGCCAGAGACCCCCACAGAACGCCACATCTACCCGCAGCCGGGAGCCAGGGCTAAACTTCCCCACAACCACAGCCCTTATCAGCAGCCCACACATGCAGATCCCGAGTATACAATCAACCAACAACTAAGGCACAGGACCCTGTAACTGTTAAACCTCTGCTCTACGGTTTTACGTCTGCCCCAAATGCCCTCCTCCTCCTCCTCCTCCTCCTCCTGCTGTCCACTTCTCCAAAGTCTCTCTAGAACAATTTTCACATCCTCAAAGAAATATCCCTTGCTTCTCGCAGAGGACGGGAGCTCCCTCCATGGCGCGCCTCACTGCACTGTTTGCAGCTGGTGCCAACTTCCGCCTGTCTGTGTATGTTGCTTCAGATGTCTCAGGACATGCCTTGTTCAGGCACCCAGGGATGGGAAAGCTGAGTCCTGCCTGGAGTCGCTTTGGATCCCTCACATCTGTAGCATGCCACACAGCACAGGTGAGTGGCAATACTGTGATTGTCACTTAAAGTCTGACTTACTCATGTGTGACAGGAGCAATCTTCTCACACAGAAGGAACATCTGCAAATATTACCTTGGTTCACAATCATAAAAATGCAGTAAAATACAAAGTAAAAGAGTCGGGAGATTTCAAACCGTCTGTAGGTTTATAAACACGGAATGGAAGTGTGCTTTTTAATAAAAACACACTAGCAGTTTCAAATAATCAGAGATGGATTTAAGCTGTATTAAAATATCTTTGGAGTCAGGAAACTTGGTTCCGTTTCTCCTGGAGGCTCCTACACCGAAGCCAGAGATTTATTAGTCTACGGAAAGGGGGTTCAGTTGAAAGGGAAGAAAACCCCAGCTTATTAATTATTAGCTAAGCTATGCAGTAGCTTCCCGGAAGGCCAAGGAAAACAGGCTTTCAAGCCAATGGGAGCCCAGTATGCCTCCAGCCCTCTGTGCCTGCCAGAACTGGGCTCCCCAGGGGCTGGGGCCTTTCAGCACAGAGATTAGAGGGAACCTGTGAGCTGAGTTGTGACAGGGGCCCTTTTCTTCCTCCCTCTGGCCATGTCAGAGGAACCCGGGGGCTGTTCTCTGCACCATTCTGGCTTCCTCTCACCGCCAGGGCTTGACCGGAAAACCCTAGGCTCCAGCAACTGGACACCCATCTGCAACCGCTATTACTAGGACATGGGATTCCAGCCCAGGATCGCTGGGGCTTGGGGTCCCCTCACCTCATTCCTATTCCCTGATGAACTTTGCACCCTTCTCAGAATAGCAATTTACAACTAGCACACGGCCCTCCCCGCCCCAACTGGTGCACACTACCTCTGGCATTCCAGCCTCTGAACTAACAAACACCTTCTCCCATGTCTCTCCGCCCCGGGGGAAGAGGACCAGTCAGGTGTACAGGGTGCCCAGGCCAAGCGGCGGCGGGGGCAGGATGGTGCACAAGCTGTCACCTTATGATCGGCTACGCCGAGGTATCCATCCAACTGCCGGGGTCCAGCAGGGGCGGTTCTACGTGGCTGGGGACTGCTCTCCACTGGCTGTGCGCTGCTGACAGTCGCCTGCTGCTGCTGCTGCTGCTGCTGCGGGGGCCGCTCCTTCTGGCTGCCGAGGCTGCTGTACACGAGCAACAAGCTGGTGCACATGGTAGTAAGCACTAAACACACTGCCAGACCATGGTGCTGCAGGCGGGCGGATGAGAGAGAGAGAGAGAGAGAGCACAGCCACTGAGCTGAGCGTGCAGCCGGGAAGCTCTCAGCTCCTTACCAACACCGCGCAGGTCCTGGGCAGCCGCCCCAGACTCCCACAGCCAAGGAGGAGAGGTGACATGGTCCAGCACACCTGCTGGGGATGCTCCTGCTCTGCAGCCCGCGTCTCACAGTGGAGGGCAGGTGGCGCGCGGTGACCTGCGGTGAGGGTGAGCGCGCCCGCCCAGGGCATTTTGGGGAGGAGGGTCTGGTCCCCACCTGAGCTGCAGGGATCCTAGCCCTCTGCACACCGTCTCTTCTGGGCCCTTGGGGCTTCCCGCAGCGATCCCCGCTAAGTTTGAAATCCGACAAGGAAACCCAGAAAGTCGATGATGGTCCCTCCTCCCCGCCCCTCTGAGTTTGTGCCCCGCAGTGGCAGTGGGGCACCCTCTTTTCCCGGAGAGGTCAGCCTGCTCTCTGCTCTCCAATCGCCCCTTAGATCACTTGCCAAGGATCCAGGAGCCCAGGCATCTCCAGTGCTCACGCTGGGTTCTAAGCCCCGTGGAAAGTTGTCACCCATGACAGGCGACCTCTTGGCACAGGGCTAGACATCTGCCAGGCTTCTATGGCCATCCCGGGGACACAGAGCCCCGGGGGTCCTTGCCTCTGCCTGGCGGAGTTGGAACAACAGACTCACCATCAGGGTCTTCATTTTGAGCGCCTCTTTTGTGCGGAATTCTCAGGCAAGCGCGTCCGAAGCCACTTTTTCTTGGAGGCTGTCCATGGTGGGTGATTGGGTGGAGGCGGCTAGGATGCTCGCCTGGCGGCTGGCGGGCTTGCCGCTGAGCGGGAGCAGAAACCACCGCCGGGACCCGGGAAGGGAAGCTCTGCTGTAGCAGAGATTAGAGGAGAATTAAAACTGAGCCGGACCCTCCGAGTCTCTCAGCGATCCATACACCGCCGCCTGCTGCCGCCTGCTGGGTCCTAGAGTCCTCTGCAGTCCCCCCCACCTCCCAGCCCCCAAACCATCTTTTCAGCGAAGTGGGATTTCTGGGGCAGGAAGGGTGTACCCATTTCTTGGTTCGGAGATGTATTATCTTTTAATGGAGCCATCAAGCTAAAAAGAACCCAATTCGATCCTGAACATGGTGGCTATTTGAAAATTTTGCTAACCAAATTTTCAGTTTTGTGATTTTAATTAAAGCAAATTAACCCCCCCCAATGTCAATAGATCCATTTATATTTGTATTTCGCATTTACAGCTTGGCAAACGCTGTCATGGGATTGGTTTCCTGAAAAAAATATTATGTCACTACAATTTCTAGTTGTTTTCAAATGTCCCTTTCCTCCTTAATTTTGTTTTGACAAATCGTTGGTCTCTTGCTTCCTTTGGACCGTACGTACTCTTTCATGTAAATGAGTTCATCCATCATTTGCTTCCAGGAACACAATTTATATTTCTACTCAGCCTTTGAGGTCCCTAGTGCTCATTTAAATGATTTTAAAGTTTTGGAGCAGTCAGTGCACCCTAGCCATGTGATTAACCAAGACCATAGAGTTTTCCTGATTTCAGTGACGAAACACTAACTGTTGGAGATTTTTAAAAAATGGTATTGCTTTATAAGACCGTGACGCGTTACTAGTGTTGTGTAATGTACCGATGTACACAACTTTACATTCAGAACTTAAAGTGAAAACCTTGACCACTGTCCAGTGTGGAGTCCACATCAGAGGCCTGTTCTCAGGGTGCTTCCGTCTCTCCATCCGATGAGCGCCTGTGCTAAGCATCCAATTTAGCTGAAAGCATATTTCTTGCAAAACTATTCAGTGAACACTGTGCTGCCTTCACAATGGGTCTGCAGAAGCCTGAAGTTAAGCATCACATGGAGACAGGGGTGATCCGCAGGCCACTGGACCATAGGCACAGCGTGATGAGCTTTTTTGGGGGCCGCTGTCAGAGAGACCGCAATCCCTTTTTAATCTTCCGTAATCTACCGCTGGACAGATGACACAACAGGGACTATTTTTAACTGAAGAGGCCTACTTCTGAACTCTATGAACAGAGTTAAAATGATCGGTTCAGTAACAGGCGTCCAGGAGACAGAGATGCAGGCTACAGAGCCTTTCAAGGAAAACCAAAAAAAAAAAAAAAAAAAAAATAGAAGCGCTGTCCAACATTGCTAGCCGTGCAGTTAGCTGTTCATTCAATTTGTGCTGTGGGCATGAGTAGTGCCCGTTGTCTGGGCAGGAAGAACAGCAGCCGGAGGAGACTCTTATCGGGTCTCAGCAATTCTTTGTTGTATGGCTGCACTTGACACTCAAATTAATGAAACAAAGGGACCAGCTTGATGAGTCACTGCAAACAGATTATCTGTGTTTCTCCAACGCTGCTTTGGAGACGCAGCTCCTGCCTTCCTCTTACTGTTCTTCCTCCATCCAGCAAGTTGCCCAGTGGCCGATAAAACCCTTCTCATATATCTTTCCCTGCCAAACAGAGACATCATATTTATGACTTAAGCTCATGGCGGCACGTTGGACATCTGTTACATGGTGTGTCCTACCAGACTCATTAAGCTTAAGCTCCCCTACCCCCACCCCCCTGAATAGCAGTTAGCTGGTCACAAAATTACGAACAAAATGAGTAGAGTGCATCGAAAAATTCTGATTCTGAGCTTGATTTGAAGGACTTCAAGGCATCTGGCTTTCCAGTATATGATTAGGGTGGGGAAACTCTTGGAGGGATTCTGGCTTGGGAGTCAAACAGACAAGGAGGACAAAAAGAAAAGGGATGGTAGTTAAGGGCTCAGAACCCTGTGTCTGTCTGTCTGTCTGTCTGTCTGCGTGTCTGTCTGTCTAGAAATCTTAATGAACACACTAATGGAAGAGATCTATAGGTTCAACATGTGTTTGCCAAGTACCTACTTTGTTAAGCACCTCTTGTGTTCCAGGTACTGGGTCTGCTCTTCTCAGGGAACTTGCCAGCTATATTTGGGTTAGTGTTGTGAATCTTTAGGCTACACAATCGGGAATGAATGATGCACAGATTTGTTTCTCTGCTTTGCCTCCCTGCCTCACTAAGATCCAAGGGGTTCGCCTTTAATCCTCCCAGAACTTGGGATGTGCAGGCAAGTGAATCTCTGTGAGTTTGAGGCCAAAGTTGTCTACATATCAAGCCAAGTCAGGACTACATAGTGAGACCCTGCTGTTTTGCACACTGGGAAGATTTGTCATTTGGATTGGTTTAATAAAAGGCTGACTGGCCAGTAGCTAGACAGGAAGTATAGGTGGTACAGCCAGACACAGAGGAAGCTAGGAAGAAGGGCGGAGTCAGAGGAGTTGTCAGCCAGACAGAAAGGAGGCAGCTCATAAAGGAGAGAGGTAAAGTCCGTTAGCCTCAGGGCAGCACATAGATTAATAGAGATGGATTGATTGGAGTTGTAAGAGCTAGTTAGGAATAAGCCCAAGCTATTGGGTGAACATTTACAATTAATATTAACCCTCTGTGTGGTTACTTTGGGAGCGGCCACTGAGACACAGAGGACATGCTGCTTATGTCCGTCTTAAAAAAAAATGATACTCAAGAAGTTTGAGATTTCAAGGGTACCCATCTGTACTTATGTACCTTTATATAAAACTTTCAGTAATTAATCTGAGTGGCCAGAACAAACATAAAATAGGCAAATTCACGAATACTAGATTGACTTGGAGCAAGCAGACAGGTGGGCAAGTCGATGAAGATTTTCAGTTCGTCTAGCTTGTTGGCAAGTTCCATACAGAGCGAGCCAAGAAATCGCAATCTGCCTCGTAAAACCCAGGTAGCAGAGGCAGATTTCTCACCATTTAAGGTTTCGCCACATTTCTGCCTCTCCTGCAATCGCATCCAATCAAATTGGTTCCTATTTTTGAAAGAAGAGAACGGAAAAGAAATCGAGTGTTGCACAATGTAGTTTATGTGATAAAAATAAAGCTGAGGGTTTATGGGGCAATGCATGCTCTGGGTGACAAGATAGCAGGTAGAATCTGAGATTTGGAGGGACACCAGCTTTGCACTGGGGCTCAAAGAGCAGAAGAGCCTGGAGCTAGCAGAGGAGGCGATAGACACGAGGCAGAAGCCCACAGGCTCACACGAGGCAGAAGCCCACCGGCTCACACGAGGCAGAAGCCCACAGGCTCACACGAGGCAGAAGCCCACAGGCTCACACGAGGCAGAAGCCCACCGGCTCACACGAGGCAGAAGCCCACAGGCTCACACGAGGCAGAAGCCCACAGGCTCTACCGTGGCTGTTAGGGCTGCTTTTTACAGCGTGGTCTCAGAGAAAAGGAAGAGATTACTGCAAGGTACAAGAAAAGCAAAGTTTTCCATAATGGTAGAAAGTCCTAGAACATATCTGACATTTATTCACCTGTGCTGTAAACTTAACTTTCTTTTGGACTGGGCTGTCAGAGCTCTGATTCTAGCTCTTACCACTTCTTAGTGATGAGAACATGGCATCTTCTGTACTCTGTGTGTGTGTGTGTGTGTGTGTGTGTGTGTGACAGAGAGAGAGAGAGAGAGAACATGTGTTTGAGTGCGTGTGAGCATGGGAACATGTGACTGTGTATGTCTAAGCATGTGTTTGGGTGTATAAGTGTGTGTGTGTGTGAGTGTATGTGAGCATGTGTATGTATGTGTATATATGTGTGAAAGTGTGCATAAGAGTATATGAGAGAGAGTGCGAGAGAGTGTGTGCTTGTGTGTGTGTGGGGGGGTGGGTGGATGGGCATGTGAACTTACATGCCCCAGTACACACGTTGAGGTCAGAGGACAGCCTTGGGTGCTGATTCTGGCTTTCTGCCTTGTTTGCAACATGGCCTCTTGACCACTGCTGGGCTGACATGGGAGCTCCCGGGGATTCTCCTGTCTGCACCTGCCCTGTCCGCAGGAACGTGGAGATCACATGTGCACCTGGCTTTCCCGTGGGAGCTGCAGATCCCAGCTCAGGCCCTCACAGCTGCACGGCAGGTACTTCACCCACTGAGCCACCCCACCATCCCCAGTACAAGGCTTTTGAAAAGAACAGCACCGCCACTGCTGCGGCTTGGCGTGAGAAGGGTGGAGTGTGGGTTTTGATGCTGACTCTGGGAGAGGTCTAGGAACTCATAGCTCAGCAGCTCTTTGGGCTGAGACGCAGGAGTTGGGCACCGTGAATGTGGGCGGATGTGATCAGCTGGGAATTGAGCTGGCACAGAGCAGAATCCCAGCCCCGAGGTCCAAGTGCTTCAGATGTGGCAAGAAGACTTGTGTGTGTCACCCACAGTACTGTGGTTTAGGAGGCTGATTATCTTCAATTTGGATAGATTCTCCACGCTAAGGCAGTTAGTCATTTATGTTCTCAAAATACTTTTCAGATTCTATTATCATGCCAAACATATTTAATCACATTTACTTCTGTAGTTATTGCTGACCCTCCCTTCCAAACTGTAATGTTTTTTAGCACTGGGACAATGTTTCATTGCTATTCTGTCTACCAAGCCTACCATAAAACTGAGAATGGTAATATTAATCACTGACATCTATCCATACCTTACTTTGTACCAGGATTATTCTGAGAACTTGGCATATATTAACTCATCTAGGCTTCTATTAATTAATCTTGAACTGCTGTGATCAAAACACCCGACAGGAAGTAACTTAGGAAGGAGACAGTAAGCATGAGTTTTCTGGCCCGGCAAGTCCTGCGGCCCTTGAACATACAGACGCTATATTAATTATGAAACTGTTGACCCATAACTAGGGCTTCCTACTGGCTAGCTCTGTCTTAATTATTAACCCATTTCTATGAATCTGTGTGTTGCCACGAGGTCGTGGCTTACCCGGTAATGACCGGCATGGTGTTACTCCTCGGGCAGCATCGTGACTCTGTCCTGTGGGCTCACTCTGCCTACCTTTCCCAGAACCCTCCTCCTCCTCTCCTAGCCCCACCCACCTTCCTGCCTGACCAATCAGCATTTTATTCATTAGCCAACATACACAGAATAACATCTCCCATCAGGATACTGTTTATTGCAGCTTACATTCGTAGAGGACGCGGTCCATCGCTTCAGGAACGGCGTGCTTGCAGAGGCAGGAAGTGTGAGTGTCACATCCGCGGCCAGGAGGCCCAGAGATGAACTCTGTGCTCAGCCCACTCTGCTTTTTTTTTTTTTTTAGTCTAGGGTTCCAGTTCCGTAGATGAGTGTCTCCCGCATTTGGGATCGCTCTTCACCCTCCAGTTAAATGTTTCTGCAAACACTCCCACAGGTGGTGTTCCTTTTTCAATTGTTGTTACCAAGTACCCAACGCGGAGCAGTTTAAGGAAGGGATTGCTCACTTTCGTCATCGTATCAGGAGGATATAGTCTGCTGCCGCTGGAAAGGCGTGGCTGTAGGAGCTTGCCGATGCTATTACAGTCTAAGTCCGGAAGCAGAGAGGGAACAGAACAGGAAGTGGGGCTGGGCTGGGCTGAAACACCCTTAGTGGCCCACTTCCTCTAGTGAAGTTCCACCCACTGAAGGTTCATGACCTTCCCAGACAGAGCCAGGGGCCGGTGATTCAGCCTGTGGGGCACATTTCACGTTTCATCACAGCACATGGTGTTGGATCCTTGATTCTAAAGGTTGTTATTGAAGATTAACCATCAGGTGACCCCAAAACAGCCACCAAAGGGGAGTATTTTAACTGTCTCTGTGGTGCAAACAAGTGGACTGAAAGTCAGACCCGATGCCCTGTCACGAGACAGACCTGATGCCCTGTCACGAGACAGCAAAGTGTCTGTTTAGCTTTGTAGGTGGTGGTTGAAAACATTGGTTAAAAACAAGTGGATAGGATTGTTATGCAAGTCCCTACACGCAGGTTCTTGTACTGACCTCTAACTTGAACTAATTTTGGAGAATTTATTCACTATGTAATCTGTAGGTAGCATAACTAAAGGCAGTCCTCATTTTATGATGTACCTGTTGATCTTTTTACTTTTCGAGATCTATGCATACTGGGGCCATCCTACAAGCTTGAGGGCCAGAGTTCAGATCCGAGCACCTGCCTAGGTGTTAATATTTTGTTTGAACTTGAACAAATAGACCTTGCCTGAAGATCAGAGTGTGTAGTTGGCCTCT